ATACCAAAGTCCAAGTAGTAGAATAAGAGTTTTTGGCCAACGAATTACATATATATAAATTATTTTAACCAATTTATCTTTAAAAAGTATCTTTAAACAAAATTTATTATTAAATTTATAAATTATATATTTATTTTCGCGTTTTCCTCGCCGGTCCGAGTCCAATCGAGGTAAAGCCCAAAAACTCAATAGTCCGAATGGGTTGAGCCCGAAAGGCCCGATTTTTTTTTAGCTTATATATTCAGGTCCGAGCCCGGTATTTTTAAGGGCTGGACCGGATCGGGTTTCGGGCTTTGACCCTAATTGATATACCTATGTCAAATACTGTAAGGATACAATTTTTATATAAATATGCGTAAATATAAATTTTTATAAAGTGAATTTAAAATAATATCATTTAATAATAATAAATATAAAATACTACGTTTAGTTGAGATTAAATTTATAAAATAGTAGACTTATGGTTACTGTAATAAAAAATAATTATTTTTAGTATATTATTTAAAATATATATATATATTATAATAAAACTTGATATTTTATGTAATTAGTTACAATAAATTGTATTGCATTAATATTCCTTGGAAAAATATTAATATAAATATGTACATGTAATAAGTCGGTGGGTCTATCAATATATTGATACGATGGGATATTGTGTAGAGATTTTGAATATGGAAATTTTATATATTGGTACGACTTATTAGTGCCATTAATCGTGTTAATCTATTTTCTAAATATACACATCATTTTTTTAAATCCATTGTCAGTGTGTTCCTTAATTTACTCACTGCTTGACATCTAGAATTTTTTTTTAGTGTTTCCTCGATTATTATATAGAGGATTTTGATTAGGGTTAATTAGCTTAATATTCGTTTTGGGGTACATAATTAGGTAACTAATTTCTGCATAATGAATTTTAGTTATCTAGAAGAGAGAAGGATAAAGTGGACAAAAATACCCCTACGAAAATTAAGAAGGAAAATGTGTAAAAATCAATCAAAAATATTTACCATTAATCGCTAAAATCACAAAAATTGTTTTCTTCCATTGAAACCTATAAGCGATGTCTGCGAAGGAGAAATAAAATCTCAGATTTTGCTTGATCGATGCAGAATGATCTTGATTGATCTTGTTGTACCCGATCTGATATTTTATGAATATCAACCATTTAATCGTATATCTCATATCTTTTGTTATAAAATGGAAATTGGTTGTATGGTCATCAATTAGAGGCTTTAGAAAAAAAAATTTACAGAGAATGAGCACAAAACTGACAACGGTGAAGACGATGGAAAACAAGGTTGGCGGCGGATCTGGGAAGCAAAGAGAGGTTCATATAGTTAACTATTTTCTGATTTTGTTTATGTTGTAGTTATATAATAATGTAACTGAGATAGTTAACTATTTTCGAAATACTCTCACATGATAGTAAACTACATCACATTATTTGTAGCTATATTCGAAATTATATATTTAAATGATTTCAAAACATAGTTAACTATTTACTCTATTTTGAACAATCTAAAACATAGTTAACTATAAATGTAAAAACATAATTAACTAATTCATAGTAGTTATCAGTTTAAAAACATAGTTAACTATTTTTCAGATCATAGTTGACTACATAAAAATGTTGTAATAGTTACTTATTTTCAGAAACATAGTTTACTACGTTCAGAAACATAGTTAACTATTATCAGTACGAGGAGGAGGTTTCTTTATTATGTTTCTTTAACTATTATAATTTTGTAAAAATAAAGAACCTAGGTAAATAGACAAGACTAAATACCTAATTATATTTTACTTAATGTTAGATACCTAAATATGTCTAAGAAAACTAATATATGGCATAATTTCCCTTTTGATTATTCCCTTTTAAAAAATGCAACTTTTAAATGCCACTTTTTAAAAATGCCATTTTTTCAAAATTATTTTTTTATTATGTCATTTATGCTTGGGTTAACTATGTTGTATTATGGTTTAGTTTTAAGGGTTTTAGGGGTCAAAAGATTTTTTAGGGTTTATAATTTTAAGATTTAGGTTTTAAAAAATCTATAATTAGT